GACCATTCCACTTTAGAGTTTATATTTGACTGTCACGGTTGTTATAACTACGTTTCATGTGAAGTAATTTCAAATCAAATCGCTTGGAAACATGCTCCGAGCACGTGATGACCGCGTGCGCAAGCGCAGGATCGAATGGCTTTTTAGTTTTATTATAATATGTACTAAGGACCAACGGAACACCGCCGTCTCGATATAGTTCACGGAATCACAATCACCTAACGTTAGTGAACACATCTACAGCTTTATCGATCTCTATATTCAATAGGAAACATTGCTTGCAAATAACATTTAGGTAACAATGTTATTCTTCGATGTGTTTCGTTTCATGTATTCAAATCGAATCTATTTTCTAGGGTTATCTATTTTTATTCCGTTTATTTCGTTCAAACTGAATTGTATTCATGATATCCATTGTGATTCAATGCCGTCGTCGTGTAAAACGATAGATTTCTGAAAGAACTCCTCGCCTGGAATACAATGGGCGACGTGTTTGTTGTTAGATCTCTATGTGAATTGAATGCTCAATGCACAACCCATTTGCACTTCACATGTCTCCTATATTTATTTTATAAATGCGATGCTTTCAATTTTCCAATACGAATGTATCGTACGGAGTCTTTAAGAACAGTTCTATCGAGGTATTGTCATAGGAAAAATATGTAACAATGACTATGGGTCTCTGTTATTTACTTTTATCTTCAGCCTCAAGGAAATTCAGTTAAAGTAAACCGCTGGCTGTAAATTTCCGTGTAATATATGTATATTTTTATAACCGAGATAACAGAACGGTCGTTTAAAGCAAACCAAGTTGTAATAATAGAACACAACTAACTCCCGGGGGATTGTAAAACCGCTTAAAGAACAATGCTGTTACAATGACGAAGTATCGTTATATGAATATTAATTATTATGCAAATAATTTAAGATATTAAAAATATTTGATATAAGTAACAGTTTGTTTATAACGTAAAACGAGACCGTTCTTAAAACAATGGCGGTGTTAAATCGCAATCGTTAATACAGGATCATCGGTTCTGTACAGACAATGCGTGTTTATAAATCGTAGAGTCGGCTGAGCGAATACCCGCCTCGTGGGCCGGCCCTAACTGGTTTACACTTCAGAGACCACATGGACTGGCGCATACGATGAACATTTCTAATGGCCGCTCACCTTCGTGAAGGTTCTAGAAAGAACGCGATTTACACGCCGACCGCTAACATACATACGTACACCTACAGACTTTAATAATAATATGTATTATGAAATAGAATTGTATTGTTTCGTTTACTTTACTATGGACACGTGTTAGGAACGAACTGTCGAACAGTTTAATGTACGAATTGTATTTAATTTAAATATTTGTATAGTCGATTACTGATAGTTTTAGAGAATTCAAGTGTAGTATGTGACATGCATCCCGACCTCGTCACAAACAGTTGGTTTAGAAAAGCCCTTGGAAGTTGTTTAAACAGAATTTTGTGTGTTTGTCTTAATACGTGTGTATGTGTGTGTGTGTGTGTGTGTGTGTGTACATTATGATGAATGTGTGAAGCAATTGACATTATCAGTTGATAATAAGAGGCGGACATCTTGTATGTAATCAGATGATAAAAAATAACAATGATATATCACTCGCATATTTAAAGTTATAGGAAATGTTATGAATCTAATGCAATTCATATTCATTTGATGCAATTAATATTTAATTCATTTATTTAAACTTACTTACAATCAGTAAGAAAGCCATTATAAGTAACAATAATCATCTGAGGTAACTATTAGCTGTAAAGACTTGGTCCTTGTTGACGTAATGCTCTGTTATGATGGAAACCAATAATAAATGTGTAATCTATATTCTGCATTTAAGGGCCACTAAACATTATAGTTTCGGGACATTATTTAGACTATTTCCTTCACATTTAACGACGGATTGTTCCAAATGGATTCCTCGAATGTAAGTCGTAATGACAGAAGTCATTTCTCTTTATGATGCTGAAGATATTTCTCATGCATTGCATACACATTGAATCTCTCTAAAGTCAGCCACGTTACACACCTCAACCAGTTCCGATGCTGCGTATATTTTACTGTTTTCTAACGCCAGCTATAAAAAGTTTCTAATTTTCTATAAAATGACAGTTATTTATATAACGGTGGATTTTCTTGAACGCATTTTATCTCGTTATTACATCATCTTATTTATTCCCATAAATAGATGGATGAGTAATGAGTTCGGTTCAAAATATTGTTAGCGTGATGTCAACAACAGTTTTCGGCGACTATCAACAAAGTTAAAACTTTATTCTAATATAAAAATATGTTGTTGAGCTTTGTTTTCTTTATACGTATAATTAAAATAACTTTGTAATCTTTATAATAAACTGCAATGTCTCTTGTAAATTAATCGCCACTGTCAAACGTTCCAAGATGTTGAATACTTCGATAGTTTTCTTTATAGCTAGAAATAGAGACAAAATCACGAGGTGAACGACCTGTGGGTTTTCGAGCAACATTATTATACGTGACTTAAATACCTCGTTGGCGGTTTATAGTATCGCAAAAAAACTTCACGTCAATTACCTAGGTACATAGTATTCAGTTTACTTCAACATTGAATATTTGGTCGACGAGATTCGGGACGCCGCGTCGCGACTATTTTCGTCACGATTTATAAAAGAAAGATTCATATCACGCTCATAAGAAACAGAGACACATTGAGTTGAGTTTATTTGAGTCAATCATGTAAGTGTCGTTACCAAGGTCAATTTATAAATCAAACGGCACTGAAACATGTCCAGCAACGACAATTATTATTAATAAAACATCAATCATCAAGTTTTATACATTGAAAGAGTTACTTATTATAAACACGCCTGGAATAGACAATTTTTCTACTTCAAATACTCTATAATAGATCCCAATTGCATACTAATACAAACACCACGCATTACATTTAAGACACTGATACAAGCCGCCGCTAATGAATCTCTCGGAAACATAGTTTGATTCCACTGTCAGTTATATTACAACAATTTAAGAGTTAATACTCCAGTAACAGTTTTCATTAAACATATTAAAGTAGTCTGAACTGTGAAGTACTATCGTACTTAGCGTAATGTAGGATCGCGATTACAGACCCTTGTGTTCGGTAATAGATATTATAATGCTGTGTTCTCAATCTGTATTCATATTGATTTGTTGCCATAGGAGCGCCTGGACTCGTCGGCGCCGGCCCCTAATGGACTATTGTCATGGAAATTATGACATACTCCTAAAGTATTCTTCCTAATTTTTAGTACCATCCACCAGGTACAAGATTCCTTACACTCATATACTAAATTGTCTGAATTTAATAATCTAATTATATAGTATAAACATCACATTTAAAACGTCACACATTAATGTCGAAGTCGTCGGTAAAGTTTAGTCGGTAACGTCAAGGACGTATTATCTTATCAGTGCTCCGTAATCGATGCAGTGAACTCATGACCGTTGAAAATTCAGGACGAATAAACTTATTTCAATACTTTAATACCGTTTATACTTCGTTTTATTCTGGTCCTAGTTGTTCCGAATTAAATCCATTCAAGACTGATCAGGTTTCGGGACGCGAATGTTAAGAGGCCACACAAAAAACCTCCACGTCTAAGCCGTCACTTATTGTGGTATCTTCAGATGAATGTATTTCAATTGAGTGATTTATATTTCCAAACGCCGACACAAATTGTTCTGACAATAATAATACTCGACTCTTAAACATTATGAATCTCGAGGGACAGTTAGCTTCTAGAAGCTTCCGAGAAGGTTTTAGAGGTTTGCCCAGTATTTATTAAAGTTTTTGTTTGTGAATAATGATTTGGTTTTTATATGTTTATTAAACTATGTTCTAGACCTTGTATATTCTATGGAATATAGATGGCGGATAGAGTTATTTCGATTTATTAAATGTGATTTTCCTTTTAATAGCTGTTATCGTCAACGAGTCTCATTAGTAGCTCGCCGAAGGTTGAGTTCCAATGTTGAATGTTTGGTATTCGAGCACACGGAAACTTATAAACCAATTAGACGATATTATGGTAATGCTTTATAGTGTTCGAACGTAACCCGTGATTTTATACCCGTTAATTATATTGTTCGAGAGAAGCCGCGGGTAGAGGCTAGTGTATAATATATATTTTATAAGGCGCACGTGCCGGCGACCTCATTGGTAGTTCGCGTACAAAACAATGAATGTGAAAGCGTTCTCTGCCTCCCACAGACCGTCTCCGTCTTCGTTGAACAGCTCAGAAACCTAACTAGAACCTAACGAATACTTCGTCAAACGGTGATTATATAAGTAGTACAATATAATAATGGCGTCTCGTAAACTTTGAAACGGCTGTAAAATATTATAAATGATTAGCGAATGTCTCAAATGTTTCAAACGGTCGAGATGCGAAGTTAATTATAAACGCGGGCGGACCTTCGTAGTGTTACGAGCGAATACTTCGTTTTTTTATCGAGCACGTGTAAGAGTTCTCAGAAATTCGTTGAAGTCTTTTCTTTTCGAAGCCTCTGATAACTGATGCCAGCGGAGATAAACATTTGAGCCGATCACAACGATTTAAAACATACTACCATTATTATTGACTGAGGAAGATGTATCCGTTGAAATGGTTATAAATTTTAATAGTGAACGTGTCGTTGTACGTCATAGTTTGATGATAAAGGGAAGTTTATTTCAGTATAATCCGTTGTTTTGTAATAGTGTGTATGAATTGCAAGGTATAAGGTATATCACAGTCTATTCCGCGCGTCACGCGGGCCGCGTTTAGACAGAGCGACAACTCTTCCTGAGCTCATTCGTACAGTCAGTTAGTTGTATAATAGGTTCTGTATCAGCCAACGAGCAGTTCGTTCTAACATTCCAGTGATTGCTATATTATCAGCCCTCGAGTTCTTTATCTGTGCACGCCGCGCCGTATCGATCGCCTTAACAATTATAAAAGCTGCCCACCTACACTTGTAAGATGAGGTAATGCTTTATACAGTATAGCTCCATGAAATGTATGTAATATGCTAACGCGGCGTCGGGCGCGGGCGCTTGTTTCGTTGAATCCTTTAGCGTGTAATCCGTGTCGACGGGCAAGCGGGGAGGGGGGGAGCTTGTGTGTATGCGTGCGTGTGTGTGTGTGTGTGTGTGTGACGCAGGCGGTGCGAGGTGGGGAGGGCGGAGGGGGGGTGTCGAGGGCGCCAGTGGAAATTTCCAGTGTATAATTTCGTCTGGCGAGCGGCGAGTTAAACGCCGTCGATCGCCGCGGCAGTGTACGGCTTTACATTCAAAGGTCGCGCGCAGTTTAGAACAAGATAACTGAAAGACGCATAGACTTCAGAATGAAATCTGTTGGATGTTGAAAACAGCTTGGACAGTTGATTATGATGAATGTCTTTGATTTCATAGGACTGGACTTAAATCAGACTTATTCCATCATGTAGAGATGGAATTTTGTTCATCCATTATAGTCACGAGTTCCTTAATAATAGCCAATTAATGATTACACAACGACTCTAAACAAACGAAACACATCTTATTACTTGATTTATAATAATAACTCCAGTATATTAACCAATTAGTATTATTATCCCAGATTATTATTGAATAGTATAACTATAAAGGCTTGTTGTATTGTAAGTTAAATTTCTCAGACCTCAAGACGGGCCAGAACGCGTCTGAATCTTTTGTTTAAATTGTTGAGGGTTGTTACTCAAAGATTATATTTAGTTTTGTAAATGTAGAAATAAAAAATATTAATTTTGACAAAATTGATCGTCGGTCATTCTATTACATCTAAAAATTTATCAAAGAGGTTTTAGTTTACAGAACATTGAGCTGAATTTGAATAGTTTCTCTATTTGAATTAATCTACAGCTATTTATAAAAAAATAAGCCTTTTATATTACTTTTGACCTTAATACATTATAATTAAGTAATTAATTAACAGTATTCTCTACTAGTCGTGACTTCTCAGTGCATCTTCATACTAATACGTGACTAACTTGTACATAATGTGGACATTTCACTCTCGATATGAAATAATTACAAAACTATTTTGAAACTCTACGTTAAATGAAACTACCGATGTAATGGTTAAGTTTAAATTAAATTTAAGTTTAAAATCGGCCGTTAATTTAAATTGGAGTTAAAGTTTAAACTACATATATATAGTTTTTGTCATCAAAAAGTATATTTATCAAAATCTAAACATTTATGTATTTCATATGTAATACTTGTTTTAAATAAGCTATACATATTTTCGTTCTATAATGATCTATATCCTTTCTATATCTTCATTTATCTATATTATATCATCTTTTATAAGCTTTATTAAAGTTAAGTAAATTAAACTATTGGAGGCTTCAAAGCGTTTAACATTCAACAATATTACGTCATCATTGAACCGACATCAAATTGAGATCAAATATTGAAATAAGTTTCAATTGCTGAAAATTAAAGCTAAACTAAAAGATGTGAATATATGAAGTTTCTGTATGAAAAAAATACAAATCACGACTCATAATATATGTATATAGAATTATCAAGTCTGAAAACTTCTCTCGTGCTCCAAGATAAGTTAATGTTCAAATTATAATTTGATTACCAATCAATGATCGTCTTCACTAAACCCACATCGATCCCACAGACATTCGTGTTACATGGCGAGCGGCCAATTTATACAAACTGGAGATAAAAATGAAAGTTCAGAACTAGTTCATACCACTGAAAATGGAAGCAATTACAGAGATGTGAACTTGAAAATAATTTGATTGATTACGTTTTAATGACGCTTCAATTAATTAAAATGTACTTTATATATTATATTAGATGAAACTAATCTTTTTATCTTAAAGTCACGTTGAATTCTGGTTGACATCATCCTAAAGGTACTTACACACAATACTCAGGAGTACTAAATCATATTTGACAGTTACCTCGCTAAAGCCTGTCCAAAGTAATAAGTATGTTTTATGAAGCATGTCCGAAGATCAAAAGATTTGACGATTACTGAGAATTCTACCTGCAGGGTGTTGTACAGGGTGTTGTGGATGTTAAATTATCTGCATTTTACGAACACCATTTACATAAGCCAACAATATTGATGATTTCTTTTGAAATTTGAGATTTTACAATTCAAACCAATAGCTTTCTGACTAGTCGAAACACGAATTATGAAATTAATCATGAAGAATTGCGTTCCGATTCTTACAGAAATTTTTATCAACGTACATAAATAAAGTTTGAATGAATTAAAATTCCATAGAAAATATGTGCAAGTACCTTTTGATGGTCTAACAAAGAATTTAGCATATTTTAATTGAAGTAAGTTATGAAAATAAGTAATGAAAATTTTAAATTTAATATATTTTAGTTTATAAAGGATTTCCGTTCAATGCTTTTAAATAAGATGAACAAAGTTAAGGTATTATATTGGTTATGTGTGGATCAGTTTGTGTGTAAGCTACAGTTCAGTACGGTCTGTACGGTCTGTACGGTCTTCAAACTGTTATCGGCGACATTTATTTCTTCATGTAATTTAAACCTGCGCTCAGCCTCGTTTAATTTTATGACTAAATAAATCGCACAGCATTCTCAACAAAATCTATTTAACTATAAATAAACTGTGCTACTTTTAGATATTCTACTTCTTAATGTATGCTATAAAATTATTCTAATTCGTAATCAACTGTTTTATACACATTCTTAAATAAGAATGTAAATACGTTCATATGTTGTTTTTTTATGAGGTAAATATCGCAGAGCAATTTGCCTGTAATTGTAATTCGCTTTAAAGTAATAAAATAAATTAGAAACTCACCTTAAACACCGCCGGCGCTAACGGTATAGCGGCTTGGTTGTGAAGATGTTTTTTCGACATTTTCCGTTCCTTGTCCGCACACGTCCCAAGTTATACTAATCGGCACAAAAAATCTATTGCTGTTATTCTTTTCGGTGTATAAATTCACAAGTCGCAAGGCGAAAGCGACTCGTCGTATTCTTCGTCAAATGACGGTACTATATGTTCGTATATGTATATATATCTCGTGCGCCGTGTTGACGAAATTTTTTAGCGTTCGTAGAGTGATAAGTTTTTTACGTTGCGTGGGAAAAAAGTTTTGTCTGATCGCGTTGAGAGACGTGTTGCCAGTGTGGCGGTCAGAACGGCAATGAGCTCGCTGCCGACCGGCGACTGAATGGCGGATAGCGTGGCTCGTGATTCGTTTCGTTCGTTGCGTGCTGTTCTCTCGGTCGCTTGGCCCACAGTAGAAACAGTTCCTCGGACCTCCGACGAGGCTGTGACGACAGTCTCACGAGGAGGTGTGCGCGCTTTATTGCAACACCTTTTCCATATCAGCGTGATTCATGATATCTATATACAGAATATTTCAGTTTACTCGCATCATTGAAAACACAGCCATGTCTTTCAGTCATGAAAAAATACCGAACGGTATCATCATTTTAAGTGCATTTATTTTTAGCTCAGCAATTTTTATTCTAAATAAAGTATGGGAAGGCAGATATAAGTAAGTTATATTGGTATAAACGAAACACATTTTTCGAACATGTTTATTTAAAAAGATTAGCTTAAACTAAATATTAACTGGATGGAAATTCCCCGAGGAAACCGTTTTGTTTCTATTTATCAAGAATCTCAGATCGTTGAATGTGTTGTACCTGATTTCCATTCAGAGACGTCGACCAGCCATAAAACCCGCCCGAGTGTCCTGAACCGAACAAAGACGTGTATCCTAACAGAAGGCGACCACGAAATATACAAAGAAAAAAAATGCGCAACAGTCAAGGCTGAGCTGCTCTAAAAAATATTTACATATAACAATATAAGCCAGGTAGGAGTCAACAATGTTGACGAAACAACGTGATGGTAAACGATACACAAATAAATATTATGTCTTAACTAGGACGAGACGTAGGTAGTACTCTTCATTATTAAAAAACACAGTAAAAATATGGGTTTTTAAACCAAATCGGTTAAGAAACCATTTAAAATTAAGTGTTCAGTAGAAATGAACGCAATTAAGTGATTATGATTTTGTCAGAGTATTTACTTTGTTCTTAGTGTTCCGTAATACAAAAGATAATATTTAAATCCGATTAAATCTCCGTCAGTTAAACTGATGTTTATAAAATACGTAGAAAGAGATGTTAATACATTCTACAAAGGTTATATAGTTAAATGGTTTGACAGCGTTTGTTTACAGAAATCTGTTGTGATTGTAGAGTCGGCTGAGACGCAGCAAAACAGCAGGTTTTGGTTTTTATTGAGTATTTTTGTCTTTTAAACAGGATAAACAGTATCCCTAATCCATTTCCTGGTTCTAAGCTAGCTTCTAACCAAATTTCAGCCAAATCCGTACAGCCGTTCTTGAGATATATGTATAGTGTAACTAACACGACTTTCTATTATATACATACATATTGAAATATCGAAATGAACATGAATATAATTTTCACCTATTCAGTGTCCTGCAAACTGATACAAAATTTAAAATGTTCTGAAAAATATGAAAAGGTTGTTTATTATATACATATATAATATTTATTTTACACGTAAATGACAAACACTTCAATTTCATTTATATGCACGTCTTATGCAATTCTGTAAACGTCATGTTTACTTATATATATTAGTTTACGTTGCAATTCACTTGTTATTTGACTAAGGAATTTACTGAAACCTCTAGGTATTAAGTGAATATCAAAAAACGTAATGGAAATATCAAAAGATGATTATCATGTGTGCGTTCGTTTAACAGTAATATAAAGATAAGTATTGTCTTAAACATTTTTGAGAAATGAAAGGAAAAATACATCAAATCATGTTTCGTATTTTTCCATCCATCTCCCCCGTACCTTTAAATTACTGTACACTTAACACAAGTTCTCATCATGACTAAATACCAACAGTATTCCGTTTCTAATTCATTAATCCACGTTAAAACTATAAGCTTATAACTCCCCACAGGTTACGCGACGACGCAAACTTGTAGTAAGTAATATCAATCACGTTTTCATTCTTATATTGATGATTGGATATTTGGCTGTCTTAAAATACATTTGTCAAATTATATATAAACAAAAAAAATTTTGGTTGATACCAGACTTATATTTTTTATAACAGAGTAGTTTAATCAATGTAGTTATTATTAGTATTAAGTATATAGAAAATTGAATTCTAATTCATGATTCTTTATAAAGAGTCTCGTTTCTTCATGCTTCACTAGTAAGAGTCAAAATATTATAATAAATTTATCAATACATATTCCTTACACGTGTCATCTATAAATAAACTAAATTAATATCTCAGTATTCAAGACCATTTTCGACGTAACTTTACCAACAGATGGTTGACGTAATAATGACAATTTAAATTATATAAATAATACTTTTTACCTTCTTCTTCTACCTGGCAATTTTCCAGCTTTGGCCAGGGTCTGCCTTACATGCTGTGAATAGTTTTGGCTAATTGTTTTTACGACCGGCCTGCTTGCCTGACATCAACTCTCTTTAAGAATGCATTAATCAGTGATGTCTAAATACTCTTAGAAAGTACATATGACTCGGAAAAATCACATTGGTACTTGCCAGGATCGAGCCCGCGCCCTTATGCATGAGAGGCGGGGCCTTTTTAACCACTAGGCCATCACTGACTTATAAATATAACTTTTGATATAATTACATATTAGATTAAATTTCCGTAAAACAGAGGCGTCGTCGTAGTTTCAAGTTTGTTACTTATGTAACTTGACTATACGTATTATATGTATATGTATGTATGGTAAATGTTTCCTGTAACACAACCTGACACACGTTATATTTATAAACAATTCGTATATATTATAATTCCAATCGCACCGGCGTCGTTTGTTAGATAAAATCGTAATAAAACATTTATAGATTTCGCTCGTCGCATGCAAAACCTTATAAGGGAAGTCCCCACTAACGTGTCTATATGCCTACTCTAAGTCAAGCAAGGCATACATTTTATTAGTTTTTTTGCTTCTTAGAATTCGATGATTTTAATAAACACATTTTTAATTAATATCTATAAGTATGGAATGCTGTCGTTATCGTGGAGAGTTCCCACAATCAATTTTATCGAGTAAGGTTTGTATTGTTCAATATATTAAAGCTTATCAATAACTGGTTTTTACCCGTTACTTCTCTTCAGGAAAAGTGGATAGTATTCACCGTCATAGCACACCGAGGAGCTGTTTTCATAGGTTCTAATATCTCGCTAATATGAGCAAGAGTGGAACTATAGAATGATAGCCAGAAATGCTAGGTGTTTAATTCTTAATCAGTAACATTTTTGGCGGTAGAGTTGCTTTAAAATATATCTGTATTATTTGTTGATTAATAATTATTATTATATATAGTCTGCAGGCAAATCTCAAGCTGTTCAATACTGTAGTTTTAGGGAAGAACTGACAGTGATTACATCTCATAACAACAGAGTTTTGAAAACTTCGTACTGCTGAGTTATTGTTTTATTACTTCCTACACTGGTACAAATCTCTAAGATTCTTTCTATATACCTTCTTAAACGATGGCCGTATAATATATCTATATATACTCCTATATATCCTCGTAAACAATATCGTCCTCGTCATATCAAAGGACAATGAGTTTCCGAGAAGAATTTAATTAGTGACGTCGCTAACAACAGTTATAACAACATAATAAGCAAGAACTAAATTATAAACATTTTGCAATATTACACTGTACATTGAAATTAAAACGACGCATACTATTCGTCGGCTCATTAGAAAAAAACGCAATCTTGCATAGCACACATAACATTGACGTAAGACATTTTTACTTTAACGTCGACACGAAATATAGACAGCAGAAATGAAATGAAATAAGAGAAAAAATATGTCCAACATAATTTTGCGACGTATAAATTTAATATAATAAGATATCATTATAGAGTTGACAATATAAAACGCACACAAACTAAGATTGATGATGTGTGTGTTGTGACTTATATAAATCATATTCAAGATAATACTCGCACCAAATCCAATCAAATCAAATCAAATCAAATCATATTATCCTTTATTGCAATACTTCTGGACAAATGAATTTTGAGTTTTTAAAGTTTCTTTTACCTCTGAACAATATTAAATCGCGAACACATCCAAAAGAGACTTGACTAATGAAATCATTCGCTTCATTTAACGTGATAATCAAATATTATTAAAACAACAAAACGATTCTGTTGTTCCAGTCCTGAATTTCTGTTTGTATTTCAATTACAGTAACATTGATAAAATATAACTTTTGAATACAAGCAACGGGGCTGAAATTACACTAATTATGAAAATATATATATACAAAAGAATCAAAGAGATGAAAAGGTTTGAACAATATCATAAAGTTGCATACTGAATCATGATTAAATTTCATTTTTGTACAAGTCGAATAATTTAATTTAGATCAACTATGTATACGTACACTAAAAGAATAACTTAATTATTATTAATTTTCCGCTGATCGTACACAAACGTGACATTTCCCGCTTCTTATAATCTGCTACAAATTTTTCTTTGAAACAACAGATCGTGTTATTTTATTTAAAATTTCTTTATATATTTATATGTATAGAACATGTAGCAGTTTTTGTGATTTTATTTTCGTAAGCTTGTATCGAAGCGTTAAGTGGAACGCAAATTGAAATATCACACCGTAGTACAATAAGAATTAACACTTACAATAATAACTTGTTCAACGTGTGGTTTCTTTAACTTTATCCCAATTTGACCTTATATATATATTTTCTTATATACCTAGGTATTACCGCTGTAACTTTTCTTGAAGCATTTCGTTTACATCCACAGAATTTTATTATAGATGAATAAAGAAATTATTGAAAACTGTAGTAATAAATGTTTTACAACTATAATACTATAAACAAAATGAAATCTACTCGTATTACTTAAAATGTGCACACACATATCGATGTATCTACATATTATTACCAACATAAAAACAATAACATATATTGTGCAATTACGTACTCATTTGATAGTTCATACACTAATAATATTCTTTAATATACCTTATAGTTATATATTGCGTTTTATTATATCTTACATATACCTATTATAATATTTTACCAAACATTTTGTTTATATCACGTCGAGCCTGTCAGAGTGACGGCTGAATCATTTGACTCGTATCAATCTGTAATTTTTCTTCTTCCTGTTAACTGATAAGAGATCTCAAGTTTTTGTTATCTTTTTCACGAGTTACTAAGATAAAAGGCGATTCACGACTCTACTATGTAGCTTTTGGTGCTATTTTTGGTAAAACGCTAATTTTCAATCAGTTC